CCTCAGGAACTTTTGTTATTACAGCGGGTAAAATAAATATTGAACACGTCACCATTTTTCTCAGTAAATATATTACTAGAGGTGCTAATGACATGAAATTTTCACCAGAAAAAAGTTTTTCACAGGGCAAAAGTATTGAACACACTTACTGAAATTTATCTAATCATATCTAATCACTTGGGTTGTTACCGACATCTGGTGAAAATTTCATGTCATTAGCACCTCTAGTAAAATATTTACTGAGAAAAATGTTGATGTGTTCAATACTTATTTTACCCGCTGTATTAAACTAAAACAAAACGTTAAGATAAGCAGTCTTTATAGACGCTGATCTGCAGGAACTTACCCGATGAAAGCAAGATGACTGCCTGTAGGAGAGCCACCTCCGAATCATCCAGGCTGAAAGAGGCCAACGACACACCGAGGTCAAAAATGGCGTCAGAAACCACACCCAGACCGCCATTTTTAAGCTGGTCGCGAGTGACAGCCATTTCGCCGTTGAGTGTCAGCGTTTCGCTCTCGGGGTCGTAGCGCACGGCCGCTCGCAGCGACATGATCTCCATGCAGCAGCCCTTCAACAGGATNGCTGGGGCGTGTGGCTGGTCGGTCGGACTGGTGCGGCCCGGGCTGGGACTTGGCTGTCTGCTCTTCTCCACCCCTGATTGAAGGGGTCTACCTCCTGGGTTCAGGTGTGAGCTGCCCTCTGCAGGGGGTAGGTGCATATCCTGGACCTGGGGGGTATAGAGTATGTATGGGGAGTGTGAGTGGATTGTGGCATCTATCTTGTGTGTCTTTGAATGAGAGGGTGAGAGGATGAGGGTGGGACTGTGTGATTGTGTTTATGTATGCTTATATTTATGTCAGGCTGGGAATTGGGCAGCCCCTTCTTCGGGATCATTTCAGGGTCTGTTACTCCCCTGCCGTGCTGTCCTCTGGTGGGTTGTGCCTTTGACCGCCGGCGCGCTGGTGGCTCTCGTTGTCCGGGGCTGGGTGCTTGGGCGTGTGCCGGCTCGGCCCGGTGGCTGCCCGGTGGGGCTTGGGTCCCTCTGGTCCTATCTGGCCTTGGCCTGGGGGGGGATGCGACCTGGGGGCCCGGGCCTCTGTGTCCGTGCCTGGATCCACTCTGGCGCGGTGGGTACCGGCGGGCCCTGTGAGTTCGTCACTGCTGGCCCCAGGGATTGCTGCGTGTGGTCGCTGGTGGGGCTCTTACGGTTCTCTCCGGTGGTCCTCTTTGGGGGGTGGGTGGGCGGATTCACAGCTTCACGTGACCAAAACATCTCTGAGCCAGACTAACAGAGACCCTGAAGACCCTCCATGTGCTGATGCCTCTCAGCAAGAAGGTTGCCGGATTGAATCCTGGCTGAGGGTCTTTCTGTGAATTTGCATGTTCTCTCTGTGCATGGATGGGTTTTCTCCAAGTACTCTGGTTTCCTCCCACAGACCAGTTATTTTAATGACATTGTTTAGTACAGGGCTCTGCAACCTTTACGATTAAAAGAGACRTTTGTGCTGCTTGCCTCACTAATAAACATGTGTCCAGAGCCACAAAACAATCTACAACTATGATTATCAACTGCTGGTCCGTGGGCCTTTGCAAGGCCTTTTTGGGAACCTTTATGGCCAGTAGAGTTGACAATATAAAACTAAAAAAAATATTGTGAATTTAAGTTTTTATTTTTATGTTTACACATCAGGACAAATGAAAAGACCACATTCATGTAAACATAAAAATAATATATATAGTTTATAATCAATTTCATAAAAACTAGTACAACTGAACTATTCAGGCATMTTTTTTCTAATTCTTCTTATTCGTCTTAGTCTTCAAATTCTTTAAAGGTAATTCTGATGGTTTTGAGAGAAATAAGTTGGATTATTTAAGTAAACAACAGGCTAGCATGAGCTAACGTTTTACTTTTAGAATTTGTAGTATTGATCATATTTTTGCATACAAATTGATTGCTGTTGTATAAAAACAAACAAAAAATAAACAAATAAAATAAAATTCTGTTATCTTTGGTCACATTTTTAAAAAGCCACTGCAGAGGGACCAAAGGGCCAGATGTGGCCCCAGAGCCGCAGGTTGCAGACCCCTGGTTTAGCGCAATGTTTCTTATTATTGGACTTTTTGGATCGTCCCTCAGCGATCAATTACTTCTCTAAATCTGAAAACCTAAACCTGGAGAAACCACTCCACATACCAAAAGCAAGATGATTGATATTTTAATCTTTTACATCAGGGGTGTCCAAAGTGTGGCCTGGGGGTCATTTGTGGCCCCTGAACTGATTTTGTGTGGCCCCTGACTTCAGTTCAAGAATTATACTAATTTTGTTTACAAATTTGTCCCCCCGGCACAGGTTTTTGATGTAGATGGAGACTTTCTATTTATTATTACGGCACATTTATCACAAAGTAAAATCTTCTAATAAAAAATATTGGCAACAATACCAATGATTTGTCTTTAAATAAACAGGCTCTTAGCTTTTTCCACATCTATCTAGTGATTTCTCAAAAGCTGATTTTGCTGCACTTCAATCTGCTTTTAATTAATTTATTAAATTCATCTGAATACAGCGAGCATTTTCAATGACAATGACCTGAAACCTGATTTTATTGATCAAAATTTTGTTATTTTTTTTCCCCCAACTGAAACCTAGAAAATCGCAAAATTTCTTTCAATAAGGGAAACCTGTAAAACACTTAAAACTTCTGGATCTAGATTAATTTACACATCCATTTCCAGCAATAAATCTGACTACTTTATTTGTTTAATTCAAGTGTTAAATGCTCAGTTTATTGTTGAGCAGGTAAAGGAAAAATATTTTTGGCCCTCAAGTCAAGACTTTATGATTTTGGCCCAYGTGACGAAATGTTTGGACCCCCCTGCTTTACATGAACTGTAACTTTATCAATCAGCCTTGTTACAAATATTCAGTTGTAAAATAAATGAAAATACTTCATAGTGAATGTAAAGAGGGCTTCCTAAATGACCTCCTGCGTGGTTTTGATTGGTTTATGTTTGCAGTGAAACAAAAGCAGAAATCAAACACGTACCTCACAAAACATAGGCAGTTTTTTGGCAAAGTCCACCACTCGAGTTATGGCGGGGGTGATAATTTTTGTAAACTGACTAAAAGCTTCGATATCCACCTTGTTTTCTTCAGCTGGGTTAGCCACGGAGCCTTGACCAAAATCCTCAGGCTGAAAGAAAACAAGAAGAAAAAGAGATTTTAAATAGAAAATCACACAACACTAAATGTATAAAATGAGTTTAAATAAAATTTAAAGATAATAAATGTAAAGGAATATAAGACTTAAGTGTTTTTTTATCGTCTTAACCCTCAGAAGGTTTTTTAGCTTTATGACAAGTGTTACTGTGGGGAAAATCATAATGAATAAAAAGAGTTACTTTTTTAAAAAGAATCTTTGGTTAAGAATAATTATAATTATTTTTTAAAACTATTTATTCATCCACAGCTGTCGGACATGGAGTTTTAATAATTTTAATCATTCTTTAATAAAACTCTAAAAAGTTGTGTGTTTATTTTATTTTTTTTTTCAAAATATCAGTGTACTTTTGTTAAAAAAACAAAAAAATGAATTATTTTTTAAATAAAATATAAGGGATAAATGTGGGATCAGAAAATTCCTCTTTAATGTCTTTTCATTGCAGATTTTCCCCTCAGGAACACTAGAGGGCAGTAAAGTTACTGTGAGGATGTTCAGGTTTTTAGACAACAAAAAACAAAATCAAAAAATTTAAAACACAAAGTAAATAAACGTGAGGCTGATGCTTTCCTCACAGTACCTTCAGAGGGTTAAATTCCATTTAAATTCAAAAGATAAAGTSTGTTTGTGTTTAGACCCACTCAGAATATAAAACTTTGTTTTCCATTTTGGCATCAAAGTGGTTGTGTTAGGATTAAACTCAAAAYATTCACCAAACAGTTCAATATTATTGAAAAATAAAGAAAAAGAAAAATCTTACTCAAAAAAGAAGATAGGAAGTTGATCAGTGACATAAAAGAACTTTTTTTTCTTTAACTAATTATTGCGTTAAATTAATTATAGAAAAAAAGAGGCAGAAATTATAAGATTTTTTTCTTCTTTCTGCCTCCTTTCATTTCAATTTGATTTGTATATTTGTTGTTGTTGTGTATATATGTTGTGTATAGCTTTTGTTTTTAATGTGTATAAAATTTTTGGTTTTAAATGAAATGCATAAACAATTTAAAAAAACTTAGCTCAATCTGACTTTTTTATTCTCATTCCTGAAGCTGAGGTGAGTGGACACACAGGGTCACCTACAGAACAACTTCCAGTGTTTTACATGAAGCAGTCTCAGGAGCCGTTTATTCCTCACACTGCAGTACTTACAGCCCTTCAAAATAAGAGTCTCAAACTCACCACACCAAGTGTTGATCTCAAACATTTAAACATTTGAAGCTTATTAAAAATACATTATTGTTCTTCAGTAAAACACATACTGCAGTTTACACAACTAAACTCAAAGGATCTGTTTAAGTCTCTTTTATTGTGAAAGATCAAAACAAGTTCTGAACAACCCATTAACCACACCTGAGACCTTCTGTAGGTCCTCCAGGAAATGTGCCTCCAGAACCAGGAGACACAATAAT